TATGAGCAGCTATTTTGTAAGGAAATACCAAGGCTGGCATGTGGGCTGGTTAGGCCCGGGCCCGCGATCCCAAATGGGTAGTGGGCCTAACCGTTTAAGCCCGGGACCAGGTGGGAGTGGGCTGCTAAGTGGGCTGGTCAGCTGAAAAAAGCCCGCGAGCCCGGGACCGTTTGGGCCCGGGACCGGCTGCTAAGTGGGTCTGTTCAACCGGTCCTAAACGGCTCAAACGGGCTCAACGGCTATTTTTTTAAAAAAAAAATTTTAATTCCAGAATTTTTTTAGCCAATACAAAAGTTTAGAAAATGGCCGTTGGCCTGCAAAAATAGCCGTTTGCTATTTCTAAAATAGCCATTTAACCCCTCCCCCAACTAAGTGTCCCAAAATACTCCGAAACTCAAGATGAACCATCCCGGCAAATCACAATAACAGAAATAGATACGGGGGAAGCAGTTAATAGGAGATCAGGGCGTTAATTCTCTAAACGACCGGCCGGGTCGTTATACTTCTTCTTCCTACTGGGTTGACTAAAAGAAAGATAAAACTACCTACATGTATATTTATAATAGCGTGTATATGTATGTGCGTGCAATTTATACATATATGTACATATATTCACATATGTTACATTTTATAACAAATACATTTATATTTACTTTTTGTTAAAGTAAAATTATCATTAGGAACGAATTGTGAAAAAATATAATGCATCGACATTAAGAAGTAAATAAGGTAACTATTAAGTTTCTTTATCACAAATAATTACTCTATCTATACTAGCCATTCTGGGAAAGACATATGATGAACGAATTATTTTACATAAATAATACTATACTTTCTTTTGCTAACAAGTAATAATGATATATATGCATGCGATCGTAAAAAGAGGTTGCAGTTACTTAAAAACAAGGCAATAACTTTAAGACGTAAAACATTTATAATCACAATCGACATTGCTCAAATTCACGTTTAAATTGTGTTGCTAAAATATCTAAAAACTAGGAAACAATCAAGATAAATATTTGATATATCGGAATAACTAACATCATTCGAATATTACTTTGTCACATTGAGTTTTGTCTTTAACACAATGATAACAATATATATATGTCTAGCAATACATATAGTAAACCAAAAATGCATATTCAACTGGAAAAAAGGTACGGACCTAGTTGATTGTGTACAACTACATAATATGACAATGACCAAAATAACAACAAATACTAAAAATGCATCTCTTTCTTCCCGGATTTAAACTTTGATTATTCATATTCATAGGTTTAAATGATATATCCAATCATTTTGATTTCGACAAAAAAATTACCATATGATAATTTGCATTAGTTATTCAAACTTATACTTTATTTCTTTTAAAGCTTTATTTTAAAATTATTAATTATTTTACAGTATCGTTTTATTACAAGACTTGATTGCATTGTTCGAAGGCCACACGTCGCGACGACCTTGATTCTCCAATAAACAGCAAGGCACCGCGCTAAAGCTTTAACCTCGTTTATGTAGATTCAGTTTTGTCTAGATGAGGAACTGTGCTTAAAAAAATAATTTCTATATCTATGTTGGAGTAAATTTCTTTTACAAAGTTATATATATTGACAGTATAAAATTTTGTCGTATATTTTGACTCGATACACATTTATTTCTTATAATCATAACTAAAAACTATCTTTGTATTTGTACTTGTATAATATTGGTGTGAGATGGATCTGAATAGAATAATATACATATTATTTATATAGTCGATCTCAATTTGTTTAGTACTGAAGGCCTAGTTATTGTCATCGTTGTATTAGAGTATTTTCTACTCTCTAGCCGATGGTCTATATCGAAAATAACTTCTCTGCCTTATCAGGGTAGGGGTAAGGTCTACATACACATTAGCCTCATCAAACCTCACTTGTAGGAATTCACTGGGTGGTAAAAATAGCACGGGCAGTTTTCGGACTAGTCATTCAAAAGCATTTGCAAAGTCATTAAAAAATAGCCACTATTTTACTGCAACACGGAAAGTTCCAGCATAATATACTGGATATCGGTGCACATGAGTATGATCTTCCAGCATATGCTGGAACTCCAACACGCGAAAAGTTCCAACATAATATACTGGAGATTGGAGCACCTGTGTATGAACTTCCAGCATATTATGCTGGACCGGTATATTATACTGGAACTCCAGTATTATACTGGACTTCCAGCATAATATACTGGAGTTCCAGTATACTTATGCTGGAACTCCAGCATAATATATTGGAGTTCCAGTATATTATGCTGGAGTATTTTCCAGATTTTGAATAGTATTTTCGTTTAGAATTATCTTTACATGAAAAATGGCTAAATTTCAATTACTTTTGAAACTGAGGCTATTTTTGAATGAATTTGTAAATCTGGCTATTTTTGAATATCTCCCGATTTGTTGTCGTTGTTGTTGTTGTATTAATGTATTTTGATTTATTATAAAAAATTGCTTGGGGGAAGAAATGTTACAAGTTAATGTTTGTATAAAAAATTATTTCTATATTGTAATGGCATTTTCTTGACCCGACTTGTACTCCAAAATTACTATGAAAATATTTACATGTTGCTCCTTCTTTTTACAAAAAATGAAATAAAAATAGAATAGCAGCATATGATTCAATAGACAGGTAAACTCAAATTCCTTTCCAACAAGCTTCATTACACAGTCAGTAATAAATCCAATCACTTATGAATAGTTGATAACTAATTTTGAATCAATCACAAGTCATCAATTCAATGGGCGAACAGAAAAATAACTGCCAAAAAAATCTGCCGCCAATACCTTCTGTTACAATTGCAAATGCAATTTGGAAAAACAAACTGGTTTCAAGGCGCATAATAACTCTGTGCACAAAAAGGATCCTTGTGAATGCAAGGTATGTGGAACTAAGTTCAGATTTGACAAACGAACTACGAAGAAACAAAATTAAAAAAAAAAAAAAAATACATTATAAGAAGGATAATTAGATTAGTGTAGCTATTGTAGTTATTAGTATTTAGCTAGTAGAGTATTTTTTTTTTTTTAGCGAATAGTTAGAGTTGAGAATGAATAAGGCCGAAGAATGAGGAAGCTTTCGGTGTTTTCAATTCAAGTTTCCGAAAGATATCTGTCATCACAACAAAATGCAGTGAGACTGGAGCATTTGCTGCCGATTTTGATCGAAAATTGATTAGAGAAAGAGATCTCTGTTTACTGAACTCAATTTTCCGAAAAATATCTGTAAATACAACGGAATGCCGTGAAATCGGAGTGTTTTCTGCTGATGTTAATATGAAATTCACACATGAAGATCCTTCTGATGCCTACTATGAGATTTTCACGACTCCGTGTGTAAGCAACTTCTCGATGATATTAGAGTCAGTTCTATCTTCATTCAACGGATCAAAATTCTCTATGAGACTGGAGTATTTGCTGCCGATTTTGATCGAAATTTGACTAGAGAAAAAGATCTCTGTTTACTGAGCTCAATTTTCCGAAAAATATCTATAAATACAATAGAATGCCGTGAAATCGGAGTGTTTTCTGCTGATGTTGATATGAAATTCACACATGAAGATCCTTCTGATGCCTACTATGAGATTTTCACGACTCCGTGTGTAAGCAACTTCTCTATGATATTAGAGTCAGTTCTATCTTCATTCAACGGATCAAAATTCTCTGCGAGACTGGAGCATTTGCTGCCGATTTTGATCGAAATTTGATTAGAGAAAAAGATCTCTGTTTACTGAACTCAATTTTCCGAAAAATATCTATAAATACAATGGAATGCCCGTGAAGTAACGGTACGGTAGGTTTTCGTTTCGTCGTCGTAGTNACTAATTTTGAATCAATCACAAGTCATCAATTCAATGGGCGAACAGAAAAATAACTGCCAAAAAAATCTGCCGCCAATACCTTCTGTTACAATTGCAAATGCAATTTGGAAAAACAAACTGGTTTCAAGGCGCATAATAACTCTGTGCACAAAAAGGATCCTTGTGAATGCAAGGTATGTGGAACTAAGTTCAGATTTGCAAACGAACTCGAGAAACATAAAAAAAAAAAAAAAAAATCATTATAAGAAGGATAATTAGATTAGTGTAGCTATTGTAGTTATTAGATTTTAGCTAGTAGAGTATTTTTTTTTTTTTAGCGAATAGTTAGAGTTGAGAATGAATAAGGCCGAAGAATGAGGAAGCTTTCGGTGTTTTCAATTCAAGTTTCCGAAAGATATCTGTCATCACAACAAAATGCAGTGAGACTGGAGCATTTGCTGCCGATTTTGATCGAAATTTGATTAGAGAAAAAGATCTCTGTTTACTGAACTCAATTTTCCGAAAAATATCTATAAATACAATGGAATGCCGTGAAATCGGAGTGTTTTCTGCTGATGTTGATATGAAATTCACACATAAAGATCCTTCCGGTGCCTACTATGAGATTTTCACGACTCCGTCCGTAAGCAACTTCTCGATGATATTAGTGTTGGAATACATCAAGGAATTTCTCAACCTCACTCTTTAATTTCTCAACAAAGATTTCACACAGAAGAGGAGAAAAGGTTCGATGAAAAAGAAGAAGAGAAGAAAGGATTTTTGGACAAAGTAATTTCGGACAAAACTAAGCTGAGTCTTTTGTGTGATAAGCCATGTGGCAAGCCACGTGGCACCATCTCAGCCAACAAGATCAATTGATGAAGATTTAATCTGGACCGTCCATTTCTCACATGCACACAAATGCTCACATGCTGAAGGAATATTAATTAGTTACATTGTTAGAATCTAGCTAATAAAAATAGGACAAGTGTACATAATTCATAGGGTAGTTTTATTTTCAGATTCTTTTCTAGGTAGCTAAATATCTGTATAAATATAAAGTCTTCTTGTACAGCAATTCATTGAGAAATACAGAAAAGTTTCACAATCATCTCTCTAACTTCCTACACGGTTTCAGAGCATTAGCTCTTCTTCTCAATTTTTCTTAATCAACCATGTCTCCTTCTTCTGATGTTACTGAAACTCCCACTCCTACACACGGATCTTCATCCACAACAATAGGCAATGGGAATACCATTGATTCCACCCATCCCTTCTTTCTCCATGCATCTGATGCACCGAGGATGATACTTGTCAACACACCATTTGATGGTCGAGGTTATGCTGGATGGAGCAGGTCTATCTTGATTTCACTTTTTGCCAAGAACAAGTTGGGATTTATTGATGGATCTTGCCCTATGCCAATCCCAACAGATCCTACTTTTCAGACCTGGAGCAGGTGTAACCATATGGTTACATCATGGTTGCTAAATTCTCTGACCAAAGTGATTGCTGACAGTGTCCTTTATTCAAAAACAGCTAAGGATCTATGGCTGGATCTGGAGCACAGGTTTGGACAACCCAATGGAGCCAAATTATATCACCTGCAAAAGGAGTTAGCTGATTTAGTCCAAGGATCAGCAGATATTGCTAGTTATTTTACCAAAATAAAACGATTGTGGGATGAGTTGGACACTCTCAACACTGATATGTACTGCTCTTGTAACTGTGAATGTGGTGATAAGAAGAAAATGCAACAGTTTAAGGAAGATGAAAGGCTCATTCAATTCCTCATGGGTTTGAATGAGACCTATGGACAGGTTAGAAGCAACATTCTTATGATCAACCCATTACCCTCAGTCAATCAAGCATATTCTCTTCTCATGCAAGATGAGAATCAGAGGGAAATTCATGTGAACTCTCATTTCCCAACAGATGGTTCTTCATTCCTAGTAAGAAATCAAGCTTCTCAGAACCATCAGACCTCTAATGGTCCTCAATTCTACACTCAACAGAAGACTGGAAACAATTCCTATAAAGGGAACTCTGCATATAAAGGGAAAAAGAATGCACAGATGTATTCTTATTGCAAAATGACTAATCACACCATTGACAACTGCTATAGGCTTATTGGTTTCCCTGCTGATTTCAAATTCACTAAAAACAAGAAGATGCAACATACTACAAAAGGAAATTCAGCTGCTGCAATAGAGGATACAGGAGAAGTTTGCAACAAAATGGCAGAAGGACCTCAGTTTGCTCAGAAACTTTCATCAGATCAGTTTAATCAACTGGTCAATCTTCTGAATCAAATGCAAACAGGGCAGGGAGGCACACAGGAGGTTAATGCAAATTCTGCTGCTGGTATATTACTTACCAACTCCCCAACCTGTTATTCCATTGCTAATTCTAACCTTGCACACTCCTGGATCATAGATTCAGGAGCAACTGAGCACATGTGTTTTAATGCCAGTACATTCTTATTCTTATTACCCTTACCCACTCCTATAATGGTAAGGTTACCTAATTCCTCTAGAGTTAAGTCACTCACTCAGGCAGTGTTTCCTTATTTCCAGGATTAGTGTTGGAACATGTTCTTCATATTCCTAGTTTCAAATACAATTTACTCTTTGTTCATAGACTCTGTCAAAGATTCAAGTGTCTATTGGTTTTCACTTCTTTTGGGAGCATTTTGCTGCAGGGCCCTCTCCTGAAGAGTCCACAAGTTTTTGGTGAGGCTAAAGAAGGACTTTACTTAGTACAGCCTACTGTGACAGAGTCTAGGAACCTTTCTTCACAAACTACAACATCTTTGTTTAAGAAGTCTTTTTCTAATTCAGTTTCAACTTCTTTTTCTTTTCCTATTTTAGCAAAAACAGAGTCTGATGTAATGTTATGGCATGTAAGATTGGGGCATTTGCCTTTCAATGCAATGAAACACATCAATTCTATCTCATTTCTTTCTACTCATGTTTGTGATTGTGATATTTGTCCTCAAGCAAGACAGTCTAGATCACCATTTCCAATTAGCCACATCAAAACTAACCAAGCATTTGATCTAATTCACATTGACACATGGGGACCTTATAGGACACCTACTCATAATGGATACAAATATTTTTTAACCATAGTGGATGATTTCAGTAGAGCAACATGGACTTATCTGTTAAGCACAAAGAGCAATGCCTTTTCTGTTTTAAAATGTTTCTTAAGCATGGTGGAAAGACAATTCAATGCTAAAGTGAAGATCATCAGATCAGATAATGCTTTAGAATTAGGAAAAGCAACTGCTGCATCTCTATTTCTGCAGTCTCAAGGAATCCTACATCAAACTTCATGTGTGGGTACTCCACAACAAAATGGTATTGTAGAGAGGAAGCACAAACATTTGTTGGAAGTGGCCAGGGCTTTATTGTTTCAATCCAAGGTGCCTATATCCTATTGGGGAGAATGCATATTGACAGCTACATTTTTAATCAACAGATTTCCCTCTAAGGTTCTTAAGGGTAAAACTCCCTATGAAGTATTGTTTGACCAATCACCCTCCTATTCCTTCTTAAGAAGTTTTGGTTGCTTATGCTATGCCTCTACTTTGTCACATCATAGAGGTAAATTTGAACCTAGGCAAAGGCATGTGTTTTCATGGGATATCCTATTGGACAAAAAGGGTACAAACTATTGGATTTGACTACCAAGAAGTTGTTTGTTTCAAGGGATGTTCATTTTCTTGAACATATTTTTCCATTCACCTATATCAATTCTTCTAAACTAGATCCTCCTTCTCCATCAGTTCAAAATCCTTTAGTTTTTCCTCCTCCTTCAAATCCCTTCACCCCTGATCCTTCCTTTCCACAATCAGTTCCATCACTATCTACACCCACACCTCACACCCTACCTAATTGTCTTCCTACACACACAGATTCCCCTGTTGTTTCCCCTGTTCCTCTACCTGCTTCCCTTAATTCCCCTGCTCCTTCTCCTATTTCTTCTTCTCCTTCTATTCCCCTCAGGAGATCCAACAGAGATAATCTAGGCACCCTACCAGGATATCTAAAGGACTATGTTTGCAACCACATCTATTTCACTAATCTTACCAATTTCTGTTTTTCTACTCCTTGTTCACCACCTCCATTCTCTTTTTCTGCTCTCTCCACCTCTAATCAGCATCTCATTCATTCTCTCTCTACCATTTCAGAACCAACCTCTTACAATCAGGCTTGTTCCAATCCAGGTTGGGTGCAAGCAATGGATTCTGAACTCCAAGCCTTGGAAGAGAATCACACCTGGGATGTAGTTCTCTTACCTTCTGGCAAGAAAACTCTTCCTTGTAAATGGGTCTACAAGGTCAAGCATCATGCTGATGGCTCTATTGAGAGGTTAAAGGCCAGGTTGGTTATCAGGGGTGATGTGCAGAGAGAAGGCATTGACTACACAGAAACCTTCTCTCCAGTTGTCAAGATGACTACCATCAGATGTTTACTTTCTATTGCAGTCAAGAAAGGGTGGACTATTTCTCAATTTGATGTAAGTAATGCTTTTCTACATGGGGAGTTACAGGAAGAGGTTTACATGAAATTTCCTGCTGGTTTGTCTTCCCCCAGTCCTAACCATGTTTGTCGACTTAAAAAGTCTCTTTATGGCTTGAAGCAAGCTTCAAGACAGTGGTATGCACGACTTGCTGGAGCCCTCAGTTTTAAGGGATTCTCTTCCTCTCTAAATAATTATTCCCTATTCTTTAAACACACAGGGGATCTCATTTCCATTGTTGCTGTATACGTGGATGATATTCTAATTACAGGCAATAACTATGATGAATTATCAGATCTTAAAGGATTTCTACATTCTGAGTTCAAAATGAAGGATCTTGGGCCTCTTCACTACTTCTTAGGCATGGAAATTTTGAGGGAGCATGATGGAATTATTATAACTCAAAGGAAATTTACCACTGACCTGCTTGCTGAATTTGATTGCACCACTCTTCCCACTGGTTTCTTCTCCAATTGATCCATCTTCCAAATTGACTGCAAATTGTGGAGCTCCTTTATCTGATGCTTGCCTCTATCGTCGTCTTGTTGGCAAGCTCAACTATTTGACTCACACGCGGCTTTATCTCTCATTTGCTGTTTTGACTCTCAGCCAGTATATGTAACGCCCTTGCATTGGGCATTTCACAGCAGCTTTATGAGTTCTTAGATATCTTCGCTCTAACCCTAGCCAGGGTTTGTTTCTCAATGCTCGACCCTCTTTTGATTTATTGGCCTTCTGTGATGCTGATTGGGCTTCTTGCCGTGACAGTCGTCGCTCATTCAGTGGGTTTTTCATCAGTTTGGGTGGTTCACCGGTGTCTTGGAAATCTAAGAAGCAAGCTTCCGTGTCTCTATCTTCCGCTGAAGCGGAGTATCGTTCAATGCGTCGCCTAGTGGCTGAGCTTACTTGGTTAACTCGTCTTCTCACAGATCTATCTGCTCCTCCTCCGATTCCGGTTCCAATTTTTTCTGACAGCCAGGCAGCAATACATATTGCTCGGAATCCCGTTTTTCATGAAAGAACCAAACACGTTGAACTCGATTGCCACTTTGTGAGGCAACAGTTCCTTTCCGGCCTCATCTCTCTCTCTTTTGTACCCTCAAAACTTCAACTTGCTGATTTATTCACAAAACCCTTGTCAGGGCCCTCTCACAACTCGATTCTTGGCAAGTTGGGGGTATCTTCTATCCCCTCCAACTTGAAGAAGGATGTTGGAATACATCAAGGAATTTCTCAACCTGACTCTTTAATTTCTCAACAAGGATTTCACACAGAAGAGGAGAAAAGGTTCGATGAAAAAGAAGAAGAGAAGAAAGGATTTTTGGACAAAGTAATTTCGGACAAAACTAAGCTGAGTCTTTTGTGTTAAGCCATGTGGCAAGCCACGTGGCACCATCTCAGCCAACAAGATCAATTGATGAAGATTTAATCTGGACCGTCCATTTCTCACATGCACACAAATGCTCACATGCTGAAGGAATATTAATTAATTACATTGTTAGAATCTAGCTAATAAAAATAGGACAAGTGTACATAATTCATAGGGTAGTTTTATTTTCAGATTCTTTTCTAGGTAGCTAAATATCTGTATAAATATACAGTCTTCTTGTACAGCAATTCATTGAGAAATACAGAAAAGTTTCACAATCATCTCTCTAACTTCCTACACTTTTCTTGTGCCGTTGAGAAGTTGAAATGAAGCAAATCTTTCACATTGATCCCACGTCATTTGAGACGTATTAGGAACAACAACTAGCATCCTAGATAGAGATTAAAATAATGCAGGAGTACTGCTGGTTCAATACAGTACGTATATAACAAAAATACAACTTAATGAATACAGAAACAAGTAAATAAAAATTTTTCTACGCTACTTTGTTTGAACAAGATGCGAGAAGGTACTTGTTCCATGTTGCTTCTCATTGAGTGACTCTACGTTACACTTTACAATGATGTTTCAGCATTGTACAAATCTATTTTACACTCAAGCATCAGAAACATAAGATCTTTGGTATAATGATAGTAATATGTTTTGTAAACTTCAATGTTGATAGAGAAGTTACATGTAGGAATTACAAGAAATTGTTTGATAGAGAAGTTACAATACAGTTTTGAGTCCATCTGCAGTTGATCATACGAGAGATCATTTTATGTGCAAGGTTAGATCATTTGTACCTGAGTATCTTGCGCAACTAGGGAAAAGCATAAATACAAGTAGAGCAACAAGATATTAGAACAAATACAACCCAAATAGTAAGAGAATCAATGCATTCAAAATGCTTTATTATCCATAGTTTCTGAACAGCTGCATATTTGGTACTTGGAATTCCCATTTCACAAAAGACAACATTGAGTAGCAAAAAGAAACAAAAAAATTAATTTCCCTATATGAAATAAATATTGTTTTCTCATTCTCACGCAATAAGGTGGTACACGAAGTTGGGAAATTACAGTGTATAGATTTGCGCGCTACTAGTCAATTGCCATATACTAGATAGAAAGAAAATGTGGAAGAGCATAAGTTCAGACAATATTTCTAGGCAATGTAGTATACATGTGCGACAAGAATGTGCCACCAAAACTTAAAAGGTAAGTTCTACAGAGTGGTGGCTAGACCGACTATGTTGTATGAGACAGAGTGTTGCCCGGTCAAGAACTCTCATATACAGAAGATGAAAGTAACAGAAATGAGGATGCTGAGATGGATGTGCGAGCATACTAAGTTGGATGTGGCTAGACCGACTATGTTGTATGAGACAGAGTGTTGCCCGGTCAAGAACTCTCATATACAGAAGATGAAAGTAACAGAAATGAGGATGCTGAGATGGATGTGCGAGCATACTAAGTTGGATAAGATCATGAATGAAAATATTCGGGTGAAGGCGAGCGTACCCCCCATGGAGTACAAGATGTGGAAAGCAAGACTTAGATGGTTCGAACATATGCAGAGGAGAAGCTTAGATTGCTCAGTAAAGAGTTGTGAGTGATTGGCTTTAGCGGGTGTGAGAAGAGGTAGAGAACGAACTAAAAAGTATTGGGGAGAGATGATCATGCAGGACATGACGCAGCTTCAGCTTAACGAGGATATTGCCCTTGATAGGAAGGTGTGGAAGTTGAGAATTAGGGTTGAAGTTTAATAGGTAGTCGCGCATTTTTCTGTTCCATAGCGAGTTTTTAGAACTAGTCTAATAGTTTTAAATTGCTATTTCCTTACTATTTTCCGCTTCGGTTTCCTAGTATCTAGCTGTTGTTACTACTTGTTGCTATTACTTTCTTCTATCTATTTTTCTAGTTCTTAGATTGTCTTTCTGGCCTTTGTTGTTGTTATTGCCAGTTTTTATTCTTTCTTTTCATCTTCTTGAGCCATGAGTCTGTCGGAAATAACCTCTTCTACCTCCCCAAGGTAGGGGGTAAGGTCTGCGTAACACTACCCATCCCAGACCCTACTTGTGGAACTGCATTGGATTGTTGTTATTGTGGTTGATGAAGCATACATGCAGCACTATTCGTTCAATAAAACTCAGCTGAAATGTACAGTTTTCTATCCAGAAAGATGCCTCAAGTCCCTGAGGTAAGTAAAGCAGTGTTGCCTTCACCTCTTATTTTAACTTCATCAAACAGGTCATTTACTACTGGGAAGACCCAAGAAAGATTGCTAAACATCAACCTGCAAATTCTCTTCTTTACTGCATACTTAAACAGTAAATATTTTCAGCTGACGCACACACAAACAAACAAAACAATGGCACAAGTTGATGACATACATGAACCTAAAAAGCAGTAGGACACTCTCCTCAGCAAAGTTTGCGAGATGCTAAACAACACCATGATAACAGTAAGAAGAAAACTAGGTCCATAGCTTCAACATGCCCAATAGACTTGTACCATAATCTTTCCTAAGCTAGATTAATCTAAATCCATGACTGTAACAATTTTGACACCACGAAATAAAAAAATAAGGCAAGAATAAAGGGAACCCAAAAAAGAAGGTAGCAAAAGAAAGGAGAAATAAAAGAGAGGCATAATCAGATAAAAGGAAGGACCATCATAATTGTCACAATCAACAAGCAAGAAATATTGGACAAAGTGCACCAAGATATACATGTACAAACAACACGACTTCACAACTATGACCAAAAAATGAAACCCATAAAAATGGAAGCAGCCACACTTAGAATGATAACAGAGGCAACACACATGCGAAATATAAACTTTAAAAGATTATAGTACAGCTGTCTGAATCTAGGCAAATGAGTTTAAATAAGAAAAGGCACATCACACGCAACAGTCATAAAAGTAAAAGAGAATAAAAGACGGAAGACAGCCTCAATTGGTCAGCATGAGAATCTCTGACTTGTCATCATATCCACATTCAGTCAAGCAGTCGGTTAGAATGACCAGCATAATAAGGCTTAAGTCGCTCCTCATTACCTTTTCACTCTGTTTGGTAGCAGCAGCACTAAAGCTTCCAGCAGAATAAAAGAATTGATATCTACAATTTCCCGTCTAGCTAGTATAGGCACCTAATCAGACACCCGTTGCACATCTCTAACACTAACTTGACCGGATTTCTCATTTACCCCAGCACCCAAAATCCCTCCATATCCATTAGTAGCCACGCCCATTACTCCGATACCACCATTCATGTAGGTGGGATAGATTGCTCCGGTATTGCCATAAGGCAATGGACTACTTCCCCTCAGACCAGTCATCGTTGGGTTATTCCAAGGACCAGGTGGCACCAAAGAAGCGATACCATAACCAATTCCAGGGTATGCTCCAGCAGGGAAATTACCTCCAAAAGTTGCAACTCCATAAGGATATCCCGCAACATTCCCATAACCTGAGACAGGCCCACAACAATATACATATCTAGGACTATAAGATGGATACATCCCTTGTTGGTAAGTGTTATAGTTAGAACCACTTCCATTACCTATTCTAGCATGATAACCATTACTACTGTTGCTATTTTCATCTTTTGGTATAGCCCTCTTCACCTCCACAAGCTTGCCACTTAATTCATGGAAATTCTTCTGCATAACCTCCTCAACTGCATCCTCCGAATCAAAGGTAATAAAACCAAATCCCCTTGGTCGATGGGTAACATTGTCATGCATCACAACAACATCTGTAATCCTACCAAATCTTTCAAAGTAACTCTTGAAGTCTTCCTTAGTTAGGTTAGCTGATAAACCCCCTACAAAGATCTTCTTCGTCCTAAACCTAAACTGATCATTGCTTCTACCATTAGTTCTACTATTCCAATTCAACCCCCTACTATTTTGTTGTTGTTGTTGTTGACTCTGTTGTTGGTGTTGTTCACTTCTGGGTATGGCTTTTTTCACCTCTACCTATAAATGACATAATATACCACAGATCAATAAGCAAAAAAAGACTTCACCTTTTTGATGAGTAAGCAGGATATCACAAAGGCATCAAGAAGATGCAAAAAGATTACAAAACAAAGTTTATCAGCTCATTTACAATTGAAGTGTTCAAAACTAGAGAGCGGACAAAGTCCAAAAATACATCAGAGTTATTTACACGAGAGAGGTTAGCCCAACTAAAAAGGTTAACCAAACATCCAGCCTTCAGGTAGCCAATTGAAGTTGATACACCATAGAAAAGACTTCACCTTTTGTATAACAAAACATACATATATGTATCAGCAACAAAGATAGCCACAAAACAGAGCAACAACTTCCATCTTTACATTTTTATCTCAGCACGACAAGTGTAGCAGCCCAACCCACTAGTGACATTGTCCGCTTCGGGCTCCAGACCCGCATGGCTTTACTACGCGTTACTACGTTCTAAGGTTTGTTTACTTATAAACAGTATCTCTCCCATGTTTTGTCCATGTGGTATTCGCCTAGGGTGTCACAAGAAGTCTAGATTAAAAAATAAACAAAAAATATTCGGAAAAAATAGTGTTTTGAACTCTACAAATGAAAAAAATGACTTTTTCTCAAATATTAACGGAAAAAATTTATTTTAGAAAATCCAATTGAACAAGCAAAGAAAAGGGGGTCCTAAAAAACAAGAATTAAACAAGTAAAAACATAAACTTGACCGAGAAACAAAATTAACAACGAGGGGTTAGAAAACAAACCATTCTTCCAAGAATTTCATGGGTATCTTGGAGTGCTTTATCAACTGCAGATGAATCAGAAAAGGAAACAAAAGCAAAGCCTCTAGGTCTACCAGTTTCACGGTCTTTAGCAATAACAGAGCTAACCACAGTTCCATACTTAGAAAAATGCTCCTTAAGCATCTGCTCAGTGGTTTCCCTTGGAATCCCACCACAAAATAGCTTGTTTTTGTCCAAATCCTCCATACCCAAGATGCAATGTAGTGTAAAAAAAC